AGAAAATAATATGATCTTATCAGAATATATCCTCTTAAAAAGATATTTGAGAAAAAAGACGTTTCTTTACTCTTTAAGAGTAAGGGCTCAATGTTTACCCTGCCATATATATACATATATTCATATTATAATTTTATTTTAAAAACTCATATATTTGCATTATAGGATTGTGGAGATTGTTCAGTTAATTTTGAAATCATGACTCGATCAATGTTAGACTACCATTAGTCCAGAGGTTGAGCGTTCGTGGCCAAGACTGAAAGTCCTGGGTTCGATGATTCCTGAGAGTAGCAGGGAGTCGTGGTTACGCACTGCTGATGAGACCCATCCCAGGACGGAAAAACTGCTCAGTGCTTTCAGGTTTCTAATGGTTCTCTAACATTGATCAATCGATGATTTCAAAAGCCAATCATACATGCCAAAAAACAAATGGATACTTCAATAAATGAATTACTTTTGTATTGATCATGTTAAGTGAATTTTTTCAATTTCGATAATTTCTAACACAGTTGTTCGTGCATAAAGATGAGAAGTTTCATACAAAGCTAGAAACCAGTGTCTAACAATGTTTCCTAATTTTCTATATTCGTCAAATTCAAATCAATCTGTGGTACATATAACACATCCAATTAAACTTCAACCAAAACTTTTTCATTGGAATTTAAACTATTTTTGTTCAGAAAAAAAAACAAAAAACAATGAATTCATTTCATTTCACATGAAGTAAAAAACAAAGGCAATTGTTTTCAATCAAAAACAGAACACAACTGTATACAACTGTAAATAATAGTTACAGTTCAATTAAAAATAACTAAAATAAAAAAAGGAAGCATTGATTGTCAGAAAGAGAAAAAAAGCCATGACGCTACAATTAATTTAACACAGTAAATATAGAATAATATTTCAATGGTTAGATTGATGTTTCTCATCTACTTGGTATAAAACTACTACTACCACTACTACTACTACTACCAATATATATATATATATATATATATATATATATTGATGAAATTAGACCATACATGTGAATACTATTTTACGATTCGTTTTAAACAAACAAATAAACGAACGAACGACTGTATGAATGAATAGAAAAACAAATTGTAGAATTTGCAAACAAAAATATGTCTATCTTTAAATATTCATTAGAGTGAATAAATTTTTTTGGAAAAGAAAATCTCAAAGTAAAAAGAGAATAAAGTGTGAATATCATCATCATCATCGTAACGAGCAAGACATAAGTACATAGATTTAAAAATATATTAGGATATAACAATGAAATATAAACAAAGTCAAATCAAAAATGAGAGAAATAATTTATAAATGAAAAAAAAAACGAATACACTGTGTTACATAGACACGCATATACCTACTACAAATATAAACAATGTAGATAGTTTCTTTCGAGAGAAAAAATAAATGTGAACAAAAGAATACGAAGAGGAAAGAAAGGTGAAGAAGTGACAATCATCATTATCATCATCAATAATAATATTAACAATAATAGTAAGTAGTGATCTCATTATACACAGAAAGTCAATCAAATTTTTAAAAGATGCAAATTTCTTCAGCAGAATAATACAAAAACTGAATAATATTTTATTTGGAAGGCTTTGATTGTTTGCATTGTTGAATCTGAAGACTAGAAACTGGTTAGCTCCTTTTACATATATGCATTTTGAATGGATTAGTTTAGATATTGTCATAAATCTATAGTATTTGTTTGATGGCTAGCACGGACGTTTCGTCCTGTTTAGGACAGTTAGCTGTACTAAGTGTTAATTGTCCAGGCTGAGGCAAGAATGAGGTAGTTTTTTCGTTGAGATATCCTTGTGTTATACACTGAACTTTTGAATCCACATAGTCAATAATAAATCATCAACCAATTACTTAATTAACAGACAGAGAAGAGGACAGTTCCAAAATTAAAACAAAACAACTATCTATATATAATCTTCAATGAGGAATATACGCATCAGCAGTTCAGATGGTGTTACGTTATTAATTTGAAAGATGACCTTTAAAAATAAAGGATATTTATGAGTTACGATTATTTGATCACAAATGCTATTTAAAGCATTGAGTAGGCAAGCATAGCAAATCGGTTGATATAATCGTACAGCTTGATAATCAATTCGTTGAAAAGAGATCTCTTTGCCAAATTGGTGTGTATTGCCCTCCACATATATTTGAGTTCGCTCATATTTAATTTGGTTAAGCCTTTTGATTAATTTATTTAACCAAGCCATTTGTATAGCAACAACTTTAAAGGTACCATTGGTTTTTACTATTGTCTGGTTTGTATGACTGAACATCGCTTAGTGCATAAGCGCATAATTCATCCTATTCGCTTCAATATTATTCTATAAAATATTTGGATGACTCAGCCATTTCCCCATGTATCTATATGTACACTTTAATCTCATTAATTCGTTCGCCGATTCGCTCATTCGCTAGCTTTTTTGCCCTTCACTCCGTGTACCTGTGGTTTGTAGTCTATTTGTGGTGTGCCAAATAAATGTAATCAACACTTCGTATTCGCCTTCTGATTTATAAACAATGAGGAGCTATTTAGGAACGGTTGTCTGGACGAGCAGCATACGAAGTCTAAGAACACGTTGGATACCGGCCGTCACGAAACTAATGAGAAACACCTAGCACCATAGGTGTTTTGAAAGTTTACATGTCAAGAAATCTTAATGCTCAGAATTATATATTCTTGAATGAAAAAATGTAATAGAAGGAGAGAATATAATGACTGACTAAATAACTTTAAAAGGAAAAAACAATCTCACAACTTTATTGATTTAGGGATACAAGCTATATGAAGTTGACTATATTTGATAATATGTGATAGATAATAACATCGGTGGATGGGGGAGGGGGTAAATTATGAAAATTCTTTAGTATTCATTCGTTCGTGTATGAGTGGACCTACTTTAAGGTTAGGTGCGAATTTCTAGATAGAAAGTGGAGAAGGGATGAACACCAGAAATGACTGGATCTCTAATCACTCCTTACCTAACCTGAAATGGTAACTAGAGTAAAAATAGTATCGTGGATACTATCTTCAACGTGACTAATAGGTAGTGTACGGCAGAGTGTAGTCTGGAAGTTACTACTGTAAAGAAGAGCGCTGGGTCCGAATGTATGGTGCAATTGGAACACGTGACGGGAAGTGACCAATAATCTGTTTACTTTTCACATAAGTCTAAAGGTAAGGTGTACACATCTTGTTAGTAGACAGTCTCTCTTAAATACACTATTATTCCATCTGGTCTGAACTTCCTCTTACATCACATTCGGATATATATATGATGAGAAGACAGAGTTGATCTGAAAAATATGATGTATTTGATCTATACATTTTGAACAGTCTGGTCACACATGACAAGGTGTTTTATGTGGAAATTAATAAAGGTCAATTCAATAAAAGTTCAAACAAACATAAAGTGATAATTGTGAATAAAGGATAGAGAAAAAATTGGCATAGTATAGGAAACCATAAAATGGCTTAAAGATTATGAGGGAGAATTCAGTGTTAAGACGAATTGTATGTATGTGTACAGAAACAGCGCCTTTGAACTCGCGAACAGTCAAAGCTTCTATAAATTCGTCCTTTGCAATTTTTACACAACGTTTTCAAGGTTGTATTGAAGTTAGCCCCGCTTTAATTATGAACATGGTTTCCTATTTCCCACTTTTACCGGATCATTCGACAATAATTGGTTTTAAAGCCATCTAGGGACATGTTCCATAACCCTTAATTGGATTGTTTAATTACACTTCCCCATGTTTATGCGTCCACAAAGACATGTTAATAGATAAATGGAATGGGGTGCGACGTAATCGCTTGTGAAATATCTAGGCCTACGTGGAATCGCTGGCTAAATACTTTTAATTACAACAAATTTAAGAAAGGTGGAGCGATGGTGGTCGTAGAGTGATGTAAATCTTTTTCTACGCTGCAGAATTACAAGGTTTTGGAGATAACTGACGTTTATACATGTTTATAAAGTTCATTGGGTAACCGTTTAATAGCAGTGTCTTCTTCAAACCTATCTGTAAAGCATATTCTACCCTGGTAATTTTTAAGCCATTTTATGGACCAGGCTAGTGAGATAAAACCTAATGTTTTCCATACTATATTAATTATCTTTCTATCTCGCATTTATTTACCAACATTACTTAATGTTTATTTGAAATTTTATTGAATTGACCTTCATTTAAATGCCTTAACAAGTGTGTAGCTAGATCAATTCTATCTTCTCATTGCTAAGATAGCGAATGACTAATGGTCAATAAGAAATGAAGGTCATAAGGTAACCAATGGTCATTTATTTCTGCGCATAATGTAACAGTGGGTATGTGATATTTTAAATTGAAGGAGTTTTGTATGGATTAATTTAATTTGTAGGTTGCATTCATCATTGATCTTAGTTGCAAGTACGATTAGAAATCAGGAAGCATTGGACAATTGAACGCTTAATAAACATTAATTATGATAAATTTCTCATAAATGAGATTAACAATTAAAAATGGAATTAATGATAAGTGGAATGAATTTATTGCAAGTGAATATCTATCTATCAAAAATTCTCGTTGATAAATTCTACACTACATGATTATCATAAATTCATTTAAAAGATTTTATTGTAAAACTTTAATTATTTATTAATGTTTATAAACAAGGTAAAAAAAGATATTTAAGTTTCAGTCAGTTACAACGTAAAACTTCGTACGTAAGTACATCAGTTCATGTTGCCATATCACATTAGCACAGAGACGCAATTGTCAATTCAAATCCCATATTGATATATTTAAGTTTAGTCGAATATATCAAAGTTCATATTGATCAGTATAACTTGCTTTAATAATTTAATATAGCCCATAAAATTAAATCATCACCTAGTTGATTAAATCAACACAATTTAGATTAAGTGAAATAGTAGAAAAAAAAATAATGTAATTATCTTGTATTAGAAATATAGACTTACTTTTGTATCTCGATTAAATTCCGCAGTAGTTTCTTCTTCATTGACAAAAGTATCAAGTGGTAATTCCAGTGAATAAATTTGACCATGACTATCTAGTTGAAGGAGATCATTGCCAACTTTTAAGTCTAATCCATTACTAGAAATCTAATAAAAGAATAAAAGAAAAGAATTTTGTTTTTAGGCGAGAAAATAGAACAAATTACAATCACTCAATCAATTAACAGCAACGTAGAACTTCGTGAGTACGCACGTACATCAGTTCAAGTTGCCATACAACATTAGCGGAGAGATGTAATTATCAATTCAAATCTCATAGTAATAGAGGTAGTGACAGTATTAGTAGTAATCGGAGAGATTAGGGTTAGAAGCTATTATTCAAGAGATAGAAGTGATGAAGAATCCAGAGAATTGGGACTTGCGAGAACACAAAGGATACATGCACCTGCGCCATTGCTAACAGTTTTGAGTCATATCATTCAGGGTCTCTAACCATCGATTATTATCATCTCGCAGAACCCAACCAGGTAATCGACACCTACCGACATGACTCAGTCCACTTGTCAGTGACTTCATGGATTTGTGCCATGTTTTGGTCTGGCCGTCCCTAGCTTTCGTCCACCCTATTAACTACGTCGCAAAACATAGCTCGACGAGGCAGTCGGTGGTTAGGCTAGTATTCATAAAAGTAAGTTATGGTGTAATTGATAAAAAGTCCAAAATTAGGGGTTATCATTCTATGATGATGATTATTTTTTCTCCAACAGATGTAGTGATAGATGTGTGTGTGTGTGTATGTATCTATATATGTATGACACAAGTATACTTTGTGTGTGATTTGAATGATTTAAAAAAAAGTAATAATAAGTAATTTAATGCAAATCCAATCCAATGATATTTTCCCATTAGTATGATAGAAATCTTCTGAAAGTTTGTAATTGATTTTCATCTATCACAACATAACGGTTACACTAAATATTTTGATATACATCATGTGCAATGAAAAAAACTAAAACAATTCTCTATCTGATAAACATATTTAGACTAGAAAAAATAAAAAAAAAAGCCTACACATATATACATACACCTTGATTCAAAAATTATTTATTTCTCATGAATTTATTATGCTCAGTGTCATTGACAAGATATTAAAAATGCTTGAAAAAATAATTGTCTATATCTATAATAATTATAACAAACAGTAAGTAGGCTAACAGAATAGTGAACATTTATTGCTTGATAAAATTTAGGAGATTTTTTTTACTCATTTGTGATATATATATATATATATATATATATATATATATATATATATATATATATAACAGAAGAAATATTCCTTTTAGAGTGAATAACACAAAACCAAAACGAGATAATAAGTTTTCATTTCATCAAAAAATGTCAATTTCATTGTGAAATGTAGATTTAAGAAAAAAGAAAACTAACTTTAAAAAATAAATGAAGATATTCATACTAAGAAAAGTATTGATGTTCATCATCATGGAATCTACGACATTTTGTCTCAAATTAACAATATCAAATGTGTTATGAAGTATTATAAACTATTAAAAAAATTAAATTGATGTCTGTATTCAGTCGATGATTTTTATCAACTACCATTTAATCAAGTTTTGTCAAGTCAAGTCTGAATTCGATTAAAGAAGCATTTTGAGATGGTGGAGAAAATTTGTAGCTCAGGTGAATGATTGCGGTGGTGTTTCGTGCTCTGAGCTGGATGTTATGGTTTTTAGTCAACAGTAACCAAACAAGATCGAGGTTCACAGAACAAGCTACGGGTCAAACGTGAAGAAATTCAAATACCTTACTATGTGTGCTGATGATGTTGTTCAGAAGAACAATGAAAGCTTCACAATCAAAACATTCAGCTCAGAGAACGAAACACCACCACAAGAAGCATTTTTCTAAGAAGTGATTTTGTGACCAAGTTCACAAGGACATGTTTTTCTTCAACATTCTGTATTTCATCATTCATATTCCAATGACAACAACAACTGTTAAATTAATACGTTGATAGAAGGTATTCTACATAAACAAAGAACTAATAAATATTATCTAAGGATATTTTTCAAAACTCCAATTTGTTAAGAAGGTTGATGATACAAGAGTAGTAAGACATAAAGTCGCCAATCTAACTTTTGAAGTTGGAGTTGTATTGTTGACTGCATCAAAGTGCAATGATTTTAAAGTTTTCTGATAAGGAAAACTAGAATTTTTAATCGTGTTTATTATTTATATAACATGAAAAAGCTTAGAAAAGAGTGACTAGTGGTCTTATATCAAGGAATTTTTAAGGCCAATCCTATGACGAATGGAATCAACTTGCTTTTTTCTGTTGTATCATCTTTTAAAATCTTTCATGTAGAAAACACTAATTACTGTCTGTTTCTCAGAAAGATGTTTGTAGTGGATAACATGATGAATATTTGGAAAAGAACAACCTGACTTTTATTGAATTTTCAGGGACATTAACTTGTTTACTTATTTTTTCCTCTGTAATTTTGTATTATTGTTGTTTAAGTACAACGCAATTTGTTTTTTGGCTTATTTAATAATTATGATAACGAATTTAGTTTGTGTGTTTATGAATAAATATGTATATACTTTGCATTGTAAACTATGCTAACCTGAATTGTATACGTAATATGACCGAAATGGTATGTTATCAATTTTGTTTAGAATTCTACAGTAGATGACCTTAGTTAATGACTATTGATTGTAATTGAACTTATAAAGTATGTGACTTGAACTCGATCATCTAAGACAAAACAGAAAAACTAACGCTGAAACAAATTACGTGGATAGATCGTGCACGTCGTAAAGAGTCATTACGGAATTTAAGACAAATAATTTGTTTAAGGTTTGGCAGTTTTTGTTTTGTGATCAAAACTATCTTTAAAAATCAACCCCTATATAAACGGTCAGCGTGGAATCATATAAATAACTACCTCAAAGTCCTAGTGATGAAAATATGATAGATATTATCAATAGTATTAGGTAGGCATTGCTGAAGAGTTCAAGTTAGTTTTAAACAGCTATTCATAGATTCTCAAAGACCTTCTCGACGTAACATCAGTCTGTAACGAGAAATATCCGCATTCAGATTAAACTGGTCTTCATAAACCATGTACATAAGAATGGATAAATCAAGCAACCTTACTATACTGCAGTGGTCTGCTTGAGAACTATGATTACTGGTAAGAGACGTTAGGTATAAGAACTGAGAAACGATTAAAATGGAGCGGGTGTTTTTAGATTTTTAGTTCTGGCATCGCGTCATATAAACCCCTTCGCTCTGGACTTACTTTTTAGTCTTTCTTATCACTATTATTATTAAATCACCCCAGACAGACAGACAGATACAACGCAGAAATTCGTACATAAGTACATCAGTTCAGGTTGCCATATCACATCAGCACAGAGACGTAACCGTCACTTCAAATCCAACAGTGATAGAAATAATAGAAGTATTAGCAGTAATGGAGAAGATTAGGGAGCAAAGATATGATTCGAGAAGTATAATTCAGTAAGATAAATTTATAAGGAGAAAGGTAGAGATTATGAGGAAGGCAGAAGCTTAGAATTTCATAGAACACAAACAGTGGATGCACCTGCGCCATTGCAAACGATTTTGAGCCATGTCGTTCAAGGTTTCTAACCACCGGTGACTATCGTCTCGCAGACACCAACAAGGTAGTCTACATCTACCAACATGACTCAGTCCACTTGTCAGTGACTTCATGGATTTCTGCCATGTTTTGGTCTGGCCGCCCCTAGCTTTCTTCCGACCTACTCCTACACTGCAAAACATAGCTCGTCGACGCAGTCGGTGGTTAGCCATACGTAACACATGTCCCAACCACCTCAACTGATGAAGTTTCAATGCTTCATCTATTGTTTGCCATCCTTACCTAGAACTCGTTTTCTAACGATAGCATTGATTACTCGGTCATCCCAGGATACACGAACAATGCTTCGGATAAACCTATGATCGAAGACTAGTAACCTACGAATGTCCTCTACTCTTAACGGCCATGTTTCGCATCCATATAGTAGTGTAGTGCTGTGGTGCGAACTACTTATAAGTAGTATATAGCGTGAGTGTCAACGTAAAGTCTGGTAGCATAATATGGGGGGAAGATCAAGAAAGGAAGAGTCAGAAAACAATGGAATTTGTATGAAACCCATGAATAGTGACAATGGATTGATGTTTGGCAGCAGGAACAGTCCAGTTCCATAGGATGAACTGATCTTTTGCAAATGAACGATTTACGATATGGTTTTCCGATTTTACTGACTAACTCTGTAATTTTCGTTAAATACAATTCGGTTGCCCCACCTGTGTTCTCATTCACTACATTTGGTGTCGCTGCCTGCTCGAAGGAAGGGGCTCCCGTGGCCGAAGGAGTTGCAGGACGGAGGTTGGCGGAGCTTCCTGGAGGAGTTTGGGGCCACGGTGGAGCTGGTGGGGGCCTGGGGCGGAGTTGACGGTGCTGGGGACGCTGCGGGGAGGTGAGGCGAAGGCGGTACACGACAGCCTGGACGGTGCCACCGAGGAGACGGCGTGGGAGACGGTCACCGGGCGGCTGATGATGGAGTTCGACAGCCCAGCGGACAGGGAGGAGGCGCCGCAGAGGTTCCTGTTGGCGCGGCTGTCGGCCGATGGTGACCTGTTGGTGCTTGCTGTGGAGCTCACCGGATTGCGCCGTGAGGAGTGGGCGGGGCACAGTCTTTGGCGTCGCAATTTATCGAGTGTGTGCCTGCCGCCGTGTTCCAGCATCGGGAACTTGTAAACGCTACACGTTGGATAGATTCCGTATCCATTCCAGACCAGTGATCAAGAGCGATGACCGAAGTTGTAATCCGGCATATTGTAGCGTGTCACGGAATACGGAAGGTGATATTAACTGACCAGGGGCTCTGTTTTGAAGGACTACGACGACAGCTTATTAAAAGGGGGGACGAGTGTAGTGCTGTGGTGCGAACTACTTATAAGTAGTATATAGCGTGAGTGTCAACGTAAAGTCTGGTAGCATAATATGGGGGGAAGATCAAGAAAGGAAGAGTCAGAAAACAATGGAATTTGTATGAAACCCATGAATAGTGACAATGGATTGATGTTTGGCAGC